AGACTGCCCTTGTACATGTAGCTGACAATAAATAATGTTATTGTGAATACATTTGCCTCCGAGTCCTGCATGAACTGTGCATGGACTGTATTTTAACATTGGTCATATGGTGGTACTGAATCCAGGTTCAGATAACTATTTTCTCAGGTGGTACTTGGTGTAAAAAGGTTGAGAACCACTGCATATCCAAATTATACTGTATATATTCAAAGCGAGAATGATGCTCTGATTGTGCTTTCATTCCCTGTGTTTTTGAATCAACAAATTGTGTGTTTTTGTAAACAACAGGAAAAGTAATGGGAGTGTTACAATCACGTCTTTCAGTGAAAAACCAAAATGCTGTTAGCTTTGATCCTGAACTCACCATAACCTGTCTGGGACACCAGTTCAGCTGCTCCTCCGATGGGCTTAGTAAAAACACCCACAATGCCTTTCCCCACGCCAGAGATGACCCCTTTGGCATGGCTTCCCGCTGAGCTCTGCGTCTCCCAGTTCCTCTGGAAGTTCTGCATGGGCTGGTCTACAATGCCTGCAATCGCTCCTAAAGGAACAAGGACCAGGTGGTTGTTCTTTAGTATTGGGCTTTCTTCAAAAAATAGATTTACATAACGAATGGAAATGTACAGGATGCAAATAATGTCCCCTTAGTGATGTCATTTCAGCAAGACATGGGAAACAGAGTGAGATATACAGACATGCTTTTGCCCAACAGAAAATGTCAGACCCTTTCTTGTATGACGTGTTTTTTATGTATATAATCGGCTGTAACCCAGAGAGGTGCAGGCAGCTGTTTGGTTTCTGATGATATGCTCTGTGTGTCTTGAGTTGTACTGCCCTCGGGTGTTTACTGAGTCCCTGCTGTGCTGTCTGCACTCCGTCTCACCGCTCTGGAGCTGTGCCCATAAAATGTGAAATGTGTGTAGGAAGAACATCTTTTGATACATATCGAGTGACCTCATGCTAAGGATAAAGAGATCCAGTATTCATTGCTAATTTCAATGACTTGCTCTTGGGATTCAGGTATTATTTGTAATCATTCTTTTTACTGCAATCTTAACAGTTTGATTGCAATTTTTCACGTTTTGAAATGTCTCTGGATCACTTTCTACCTTGTGTGAATGGGATTGTATTGATGTTCACTGTTTCTGTCATCATGCCATTTCTCATCGAAAACCCCTTTATGTTATCCAGAAGCAGACTAATGAAGCTCAGCGCAAGTTCAACCAGGAAGAACATATTCCCTGTTTACTACTCTCTCTCCTCTCAGTCAGTGATCGGGGGCGTCACTCCTCAGCTAAAATGATCACTTCGCCTCTATTCCCACAAGCCTATCATAGTGCAAGGCTAAACCTTTAAATCTGCTCTCTCCCCTCCTGACAGTTGTCATTTCAGGTGACTCAACGCAGCCCTCCTCCACCCCTTCCACCTTCCAAATCCAGGTTCAAGCTCAAACCACTACTCTTCAGACATCCATCAATCCCTTCATGCCTCCACCACCACCAGTGTCTAGACCCCAGGGGGGTTTCATCGGTCCGGTTTTCCCCCTCCCGAATGATATTCCAGCACAACGGGGTCTAATCGCCAAACACCTACATGCATCTGTGTATTCCTGGCAATAAATATATATCGTTACATCAAAAAACTGTCTCTCTGATTGAATTAGTGAAAAGGTGAGTTACAGCACCACGAGCAGATTTCAACTAAGTTATTTTTTAACAGAGATTACATGAATTGTTCTGCAATGTGCTGCTGTATTTCTATTCAGGGATGTTGTGTGTGTGTGTGTGTGTGTGTGTGTGTGTGTGTGTGTGTGTGTGTGTGTGTGTGTGTGTGTGTGATTGTGTGTTTGTAAATCTCCAAATACCTAACAAGCTAATGCCGAGTCGGGACAGCCCCTGCCTCAGTCCGTCCCCCAGGCTCTCTGGCAGCTGGCGCCTCCACTCCTCCTGCCGGGTGTAGTGCTCCTCATCCAGCGAGAGGCGGTCCATGTTCCGGGCCAGGCTCGTAGCTAGGTTGGTGATAGACGTCAGCGTGCCTGAACACAAACGTAACATGCTCAATCCCTGTGTTCAGTGTTTGTTCAAAACTGTACAATGCATGTTCTGTGTCTGGGAAAAATATAGAGTGAGTTATTACTACATATTATTAGTCCACAAATACAAAGGTGTGTGCATTGAGCTTATACATTTCCTGCTCTGAAATTAACCAGGCAATATGAATATCTGCGTTACCTTTTGAGATATGTTTGACGAAAGACGTGGTCCCCCTGGACACTCCGCTGACGAAGGCCCCAGGCCCGCGGGTCAGCCCCTCGTACGGCAGCCGGAAGAAGTCCGACACGCCGTTCCCGATGCTGCGCACCAGACTGGCAGGACTGCCCAGGATCTCCAGAGAGCCCACCACCCACCCTGAGGCACAGACAAAACACAGCACAGGATATTAAACGATACCTGTATTATAAAACGAATGTTCTTTCTTTTTATGTTTTATTTCGCATAGAGTTACTTTTCAGCCTATTTTCAGTTTTCTCTTTCAGTTACGCTTCTCAGTTAACTTGGACTGAAAGCCTTGGACTGGTGTTATACTAAACAATTTACAGAACTTATATAATGTATGATCCCACAGTAACTTTTTAAACTGCACATCTGGAACACCTGCTTTTAGGAGGAACATTCTGCATACTAGCCCCTGGAGTAAACTCTCACTCTCCTCCTCTCGCCAAAATCAGTTCAGAGTGGGAGCTCGATCCAAACATTTTACAGACCTACAAAATGTTTTACATCATGATTATGTTTTCAACATTGTGTTTATTCTATCAGAATTATTTTCTCGACGATACAACTATTCCCAAAAGCATAACACATGCACACTCATGCATGAAATCATACATGTGCCACAGTTAGATTTAGAGCCTCCTACTATCTCACCTCATCTCTCCCATTCAACCGTAGAGCCCCCTTCAGAGGGCACGGCTCATTGATATTCATGCACTGACAATTGCATCTCAAAAATCAAATAGCCATTTCTCAAGACGCCGACCCCGCTCTGCTCTTACTCTCTGTCAATTTGCACTTGAGTGATGGGATCTAATGGTAGGAAACCGTCTCCAGCCAGGCCTAGTGCTCGTTTCTGCTTCACATGGTGTCCCAGTTGTGGTCTGGGTAAAGCATAAACTCCTGACAGGAGCCGATGTTTACAGGGCTGAGTCATGCTCGAAAACACAAACTGGTGTGTATGCATAGATAGTGCACTTCTTTTAGTATTCATGTGTCCATAAGTCTATGCATGTTGATTTATGCCTGTGGGTGTATGTTTGACCAAAGTACCGTATATTCTAAAATGATCAGTCCCAGAATGCAATGCTTCCCCTAACTTCAAGATGACGTAGGAACAGAAGTGTGCGGTGAAGTGACGCGTTGAATTACGAGCAGAAATGAGGGCTCTAACGAGAGACAGCGGGCAGGAAGTGTCGGCCCAGAACGCCATTCTGAAGTGGAAATGAGCGGCTAAATCAGAACATGTGTGGAGGCTTTGACTCGACAGCAGGACAACGCAGGAGAGCTGCAGAGCCTTTACAGGGCATTATCTATAACATACTGCCTGCACACCATGAGTCATCAGTCAAAGCTTAGAATAAAAGGGTATATTATGAAATGATAGGATGTAAATCTTTTTCAAGCCTCCAGTGGTTCAGGTTTGACTTTGTGGAGCAATATAGTTTGTGATTCCTGCCACAAAGCAATGAAGCCCTTGGGATACAATCATTTCATAGCTTAACTCCACACATTGTGAGAGTCAATTGTGGAATTTCTTAATCGAGCTCATATCCTGTTATTCTTCTGTCCATTTCTCCCTAAATTGAGTGAAAACAACACTGGATTTGAGTTTTAGCCAAGTACAGCTTTATCCCTGCAGTTTGAATATTGAATACAATTGACTTTATTTCTGACTTGACGAAACAAAGAGATTAGTTTTGTGGGGGGGGGCTCTGTGTCGGGGTCATATACAAAAAAGAACAGTCTTTTTGTAATAGTTACATTAAACTGTAATTTGTTTAAATCATACAATATTGCAATATAAACAAACCTTTTCAGAAACACAGATTAATTTCCCGTTTCTTGCAATCTACAACAGAAAGATGTACTCACTGAATTCACATTGTCCTGCAACATTAAGGCCAAAATGATGATTACCATTGTTTTGATCAATTTTGAGATCAGGATTATTTATCATGATTATCCATTGGTGTAAATTCATTTTTACTGCTCTTTTCCATTGAAATAAATAGAGCACTGCTTTCACATTCATGTAGGGCTGTCCTACTAATGTACAACCTAGGGCTCAACCCATATTGCCTGTTTTTACCTGCAATATGTATTGAAACATATCATTATTAAGGGAATATTTATAGACAAATTGAACCCACTTTCTAGAGTTAAATTCAATGCAGTCTGCTGCTCTTTGAGATCCAAATTAAGAGGTCAGATTGAGAAGATAGACAATCTTGTGATCTTTTGAAAAATAAATATATAAACACATTAAGTGTAGCATGTATGAATGATAACAACCCAGTTTAAAGGCCCCACCCAAAAAGCATGTTCAATGAGACGGGCTACGTTTAACAGGTGTGTGATACCTCAACATGGCATGAAAGGTGAAAACAATCCTGTATGAGACCTAATGTACATTTGTCCACATTGGAGATTGATTCAGAGGCATCATTATTTGCCGACTGAGCTTCTTTATTTTTGCTTAAGTGTAACTGCGGCCAGAAGCGCACTGTATAAAGTGGAATACAGCAGGCTCTAAATACGCATGCTTTAACATCATCTGCACTTAGGACATGATTAGCCAGCATAATGGCTTGTGCATTCATGCCATTAAAAGTGAAGGAATATTTTGATAATGATCCTCCTTGGTTTTAGCATAGCAAGAATAAATCAGATGATATGCTGTAAATCGGTGCTGTGTCAATATATAAAACACAAGCTGGCTTGTTGGACCCTTTGCTGACTGATGTGGCAGCAGGTGAATTTGAGGCAGTTGAGAGAGGAAGACCACCTACCAGCTCTGAAGAGGGCCCCGGCAGCGTAGTGCATGGCCAGAGCGTGCACCAGCTGCCTGGCTGTGGTGCACAGCGGGCCTCTCTCAAACAGGGAGAAGGAGAGAGGAGTGTGGTCTGAAGCGATGTACAACTTGAGGGAGGCATGGATGCTGACCAGCAGGTTGACCGGCTGGATGCTCAGCCTCTGCAGCCGCACAGGGTGCACCAGCGCCTGCACCGCCTGCAGCACCTGGGACAGATGCAACACATTTAGTAAGTAAGGCCCAGGAATACTAATGCACAATATCTTGACTCTACCTCTAGCCCTTTCTAGCATGCACCTTCATTATGTGACAGATTATCGTTTTATCCTGTCCTAAAAAATATTATTGAATACGATATGTATGTGAATTATGATTACAATTATGATTACAACATTGTGACAAGAACAACACAAATCCCTTGGTGTATCAGTTAAATACTGCTCAAATTGAGCAGAGCTCCTGGGCATGCTTATAACCAAAGTGAGGTTGGATGCTGCTTCCTGCATGTCTGGCCCCAGCTGAATGCACCGCTGAAGTTATAATCTATTGAGAATGCAGTGACTAAACCAGAACACATTCAGCCTGATCAGTGCCTGAATAAAAACATGCCATCATGAATAGTGGACCTGTTCAGGGAGGATGGGAGCTGAGCCACACTTTGTCCCCCTCTGTGGCTCCGCTGGGGCCGAGGCCATGGCACTGTCAGGGATGTAGGTGTGGAACAGGGTCTTAACGTAGTAAACAAAGGTGTCTTCCAGGTAGACTCTGGCAGGTTGGAGCTGGAAGGTGATCTGAGGAGAAAACAGTACAAATATTTAAAGTGGACCTACTGTATCATGCTATATTTGACAAATATATTGTAGGGCCATACCTATATAAAACATGTCTGTGAAGTTTTTTTTTCAAAATACCAAACAGATCCTGCATTTTAGCCATGCCTCATTTCACTCTATTTGCTCTTTCTAGCCCTGTTTTTGCAAGGGCTGATTCTGTGAGCTGCAGCTGACCACGCCCCCCTGCAGGAGAGGGGAGCGTGCTCTGATCAGCTGCTGGGCTTTCAGAAGAGGGGGAGGAAAAGAGATCTCCGTCCTCCGTGTTTTATTCTTATATGATTATATAGTCATTATTCATTTGTTTTGAAGCTCAATAAATAACAAAGAAGACCTTTGACCGGCACTTTTCTAATTTTGTCCGGAAGATTTAAACTTTAATGGACATGTTGACCGGCGAAAAAAAATCTAACTGAAACTCTGCCGCACGGTCCCCTCGTGCCTTGGAAGAGGCGGAGAGGTGGGTGTTTGTCATCTGCTGGTGGACTACCGGAGAGAATTACAGCAGCAGGAGCAAACGCTTGAATTGTGGCGTCCACAGCGGAGATTAAACAGAAGGGCAACCATGGCAACCATGCGCGGGAAGTCTTCTTCTTCGCTGCTTTTGTGGCAGACTACAGCGCCACTTACAGGCCTGGCATACTACAGCGTCTCCAGCGCTTTCGAGCGGCAATGGCCGGCCGTGGCCCAACCCCCCATTCCCCTGATAGGTGGAGAGTTGGCCATATAGGCGGAGCACCCCGCTTCTGACGTCAGAACAATTTCAAATCTGGATCAGTCTGTATCAGCTCCGTTGCAGCCCCGTTTTTAGAGATTTGGGTATGGAGGAAAAGAGAGAGGGTTGTGTTTTCTGACACTTGGTGAGTTCCCTGACACACCGGGGACACATATTCATGTATAAAAGACGTACACAAGTGCATTTTGCATGATAGGTCCCCTTTAAGAAAAAGGTTATAAAATCTCAGCGCGCAGATATCGAAGGTTACCATGGTGACGACGTTATCAAACACCTGTGTACGTGAGCACAGAGATCAAAGGTTTCCATGGAGATGTGTTGTGAAAGGAAAGCCTTTCCATTGTTCTGAATGAGAAATAAACCTCTTACTTTTCTAACAATAGTTTAAAAACGGTAGCTGCTTTCGGTAAAATGTCACTTTGAAAGTTTGTCCTCATAAAGAGGCTGAAATGCACCACTACCCCATGTTCTGAAAATATGAATGTGTTCTTCAGACACGTTTTAATTCCTCTATATACTGGAAACACAAGCGTACTTTAATTGTGAGTTAACAGGTATGTAACACTGTCATGCCTTTCTTTTGTGATGGGAGCTAATATGCAGATTTAAGTCATAATTAGAACTATGGGGTCGTGATGCACTTATAAATGAGAATAAAACTAAAAAAATAGTTTCACAGATTTTTATAAAAAACCTTAAAAATATGATCCTGGCAAACCCTTATCCACCTGTTCTTAAATCATAAACACAGTAAATAATCCAATAGCCCAGACTTAAAAAAAATAGAACATCAGAATAATTGTTCCTCTCTTTCCCCCGAGGGCTTCTGCAGCTCCCTTTACTGTAACACAGAAACAAAGACAGATCATGCCCTCACCTCCTCTGCATTGCACCTGTCCCCTGCCAGCCTCATCCTCAGCTGCAGGAAGCAGGAGCGCTTGAACTCCTCCAGGGCTTCAGGAGACTCAGTGGGGTTGGCCTCGCTGCTCCAGGGACCCCCCCCAGGCTCAGCACTGCTTCTCTGATCCTGGCACAGCAGCACAGGGAAGTGGAAACTGGCTCTGTTATACAGCTGGTTGTCTATCTGCAGGTTGGAGCAATAGACCTCGACCAGCGAGATGTGTGCTGATCCCAGGTCAGAGGCTCCCTGCTCCTGGGGCAGGGAGGGGGGGGCTGGAGCCAGGCTGAGGAACAGCTTGGTCAACGTGAGTCTGAGCAGCTCCACAGATCCAGATGGATTGGTGATGTCATCACTTAACACCACACTGGCTTCACTGAGGAGCACTCTGCAGGACGCTTTAGGTGAGCTGAAACAAGTCATTCATGTTAAATGAATACATTTACACATGCTGGCCATTGATGCATGTTTAGCGATGATTTAGACAGTCATATGTTTAATTATACTTTATTACTGTCCAAGAAAGACAACATCTCCATCTATGACATCATTCAAGTCCTAAGTAGGTGTTTTATTATTTAGACATATAAATGAGACCAAACTTATTCATCTTGTTCTGACAATGTTTAATGAGTTTCAAACCACCACAACCAAGAACATTGTCTGACACACTTTGTTTACATTGACCTAATGTGTGATTATATTAATTCCTTGTTTTGCCAAAAGAAAAAGTTGCTATGTGTTGATGTAATGGAATAATTTCACTCATGACAACCATGAGGTTGTATTGCCCTCCTGTGGTCCAAATGATGCCTGTTTCTTCATGTTTTCAGTCTAGAAACAAATGTTGCATGCAAACATGACTGTTAACAATAATCATGAAGCAGTTTGACGTAAACAACACTAAAGGCACACAGGAAGATAGCTTGAAGTTAGGTAGAACGACATGCATGAATAGTTTCTCATGGTTCAAATTGTAGGCTGCATACAACAACAAGAATAAAAGCACTGCCGGAGCACACAAACCTGCTGTGCTGGTGGATCACAGCGTCCAGGCCGCCCTCTGGCGCCAGACACAGAACCAGGGTGCCTTTCTCATACAGCACGTCAATGTAGAGACAGCCGAAGCCTGGCAGGAACACCACCTGTGCAACAACACAGGTCTGCAGTCAGATAGATCAATATGCCTATCATTAATATCCTCTATTGATGGGCTAATTTTTACTCTGTTCAATCTCGAAGGAAACTTGACCCTTTCACAGATTCATGGATGAGTGCTCTTGATATGTGTTTCAGAGCATACATGTGGCTGAGTTTAACCTCCACCACTGCAAGTTCACAGTGAGAAAAGGAAGCAGATCCCTGCTAAACTTGGCTGAGCAGTCATAACAAGTCCGACCTTTGACCCCTCCCCCCTCCCTCAGAGGTCAGACTGAGACCTCACAGTAACAAGAGATACACAGCCTCCACCTCAACCCCAGCCTGCAGCTTGCTAGACACAACACGTAACATTACACACACTTCTCCTTTCTATCTGACTAACCCACACAGGGACTGAACCAATATGTGCTGGCTGTTTACCAGTGGACACACAAATCTGTGTGATCAAGCTTAACACATTTCAATAAAAAATGAATGTACATCAGTAGTGAATAATAATTTAAATGATCACAATAGGAGTGAGTTTCAGGATCCTAAATTGCAGTTTTGACCAGTAGAGTGGCCATACTCTCAGTGGACTTTTTTGATTTGGATTAGATTTGAAGTTTTAAGAGAAGCTGAATCATTTGGATTTGACAGATTGCTAATCTTTTTTGAAAAGATTGTCCACAGTAGAGGTAATCATTTTAATCGTGTACTCTCTATATGGAATGGTCGCAACACTACTTATGCCAATCAGTCTGTGCAGAATCCAGCAAGTATCCTGAACACCGGAGAAGCCACTGATGAGGCTGTCACCTCGCTAATCCCAAATCCTGTTTTCCATAGTACAGGCTACAGCTCCACCTATCAGTGAGAGCTGTGACAACAAGTTATTTAATGTACATCAGTAGTAAATAAGAGTTTACATTTTCACGATAGGAGTTATTGAAACAAATATTTGTGTTTAAACAAGTGTGACGATCATTTTTAGTAATGTATTTTTAGTGTTGAGGTATGACATACGAGACAAAATCCTGTATAATTGTACATCTCACCCAAGCCCTTACCTGAGTCCCGGGACAGTTGATGTCTATGGGGTCAGTCCAGTCAGTGGAGCTGTGGTCTGACGTGGTTTTTAGCAGCAGTGTGGGCAGCATCTCTTTCTGTCTGCACTCAGGGAAACTGGAGAAATGGTGGTAGAGCTCATGGTGCAGGGAGCAGTTAGCAGGCAGAGGACGGCAGTACACCTCAGTCCTTGCAGTTTCTATTTGAAAACAAGAAGAACCGGTACAATGGTATACAAGTAGTACGAGATGAGAGTAGAATTGTGTCCCTTCCTACCTTTGACTGTTTCCTTCAGCATGAGTGGGATAGGACACTTGTTGTGGATCACCATCCGTGGACAGGGGTCCTCATTCAGGATGATGTATGTCACCCCAAGGTGTTCTTGATATGTCAGTACTATGCTTCTGCAAAAAATGAATAAAAACAAGTCAGCTCCTATCCCAGCCCCTTTCACCACACACAGATAAGAGCTCACACACCCACCAACATGTTACATGTCACATCCCTGCTATGTCCATTTGCAAATCTCTGAGGTGCATCCATGGGCAGACCCCGAACTGAGGCCAGATGCTGACACACTTTGGCTCTGTGTGTGTCCATATTTGTGTTTGGCTTCACGATTTACATTTACACACATTAAAAAAGAGCCAATATGGCCTCTCGGACCAGAACACAAGTGTGAAGGCAAATATGATATGCTCATTGGCCTTTGTATTGTGTGTAAAATTGTTTCTGACTTGGACTTAAATTATAACAAATGGCCACAAGAAATGGGGGCAGACAGAAAGTAGGTGAGACAAGAAAGACATGATATATGATAATGTTGAGTTTTTTTACATTCTGCTTCATCTGAAGAATTTAACGAGCTATGACCAGCTGTGCCTCCCGGCTGTGCCAGCCCGATTCAGTGCCCTGCTCTAAATGGAGCAGCCAGCATAGAACGTACGCTCTGATTAACCCACCTACTGCTCAGGCCCCCCACAGACTCTGCTTCCCCAGGAACAGACACACTCAGCCTGGGGAAGTCTGATCGGATCGGAGCGGGCAGGCTCCATCCTGCTGATCCAACTCCACCACCAGGCTTGGGAAGTAGGCGGAGAAGCATGTATCTCAGCGGCAGAGGGAACTCCAGCGCTCCCTGGACGCTGGTCTGCAGGAGGTCCCAGCACAGCACAGAGCAGGGTCTGGACAGCTCTTCAGAGGGGGCCAGGCTGAACTGGGCTGTCTCTGGGATCTCGCAGGCCTGAGGACAGGACATGATGACAATTATGAAAAGGAAAGAAGAGGGGAGAGGAGATAAAGGGAAGGAAAGGTTGAACAAATAGTTGTAGAGGGGTGAGGATTTTAGGATAGGAGAAGAGTGAAATGAAAAAGAAATTGTAAGGACCGAAGTGGAGTGGAGAGAAAAGGGAGAGGTAAAATAAGCATATGATGAAGGAAAATCATAAAAGCAAAACATTTGGATGTGAAGAGACAAATAAAGAATGGTAGTAAGGAAAGCAACAGAGAATAAAGCCATTGGACAAAAGTTTCAACAGAAGAGAAGAAAAAGTGATTACTCCAAAGATACATGGTAAAACCACATTGTTATTGTACCCTCCTCTCTCCCATTGAGATCACTGCTAAATTGATAGCAGAGAAGCCCCGCTGTGCTGCAGAGTCCAGGACTGCAGGGATTAGGCTCTAAGCATGATGAATAGAGCGACTAGAAAGGCATTCCTTGCCTTGTTTGTGGTCTGTGTTATTGTTAAGCCCACCGCTCCCTATTTAGTTTTTTAAAGCTCTTTTTCTAAAAAAGTTTTTTCAGTCAATTAGTGGCAACTGGCAAGCTCTGCCATCCTCCTTTAAGAGCATCTGAAGGCTCGTTAAATGACATCACTGCATTGTTGCTCTCTTTGGGGACAAGCAGCATGAAAGCGAGAGGGGAAACCTGCATCCAATTCTGGGTGTTTGTCTAATGTCCCAATGAAGTGCCATTGCCACATGGTGAAAAATGGTGGAGTCGGGAGAGGGGGAGCAGCATGATCTGATGGAAAACGGCTTGCTTACGTCTGAGCAATGAGTACGTGTGCTAGTGCTGGGTGGATGTGTGTGAGTAATGTGCATTGGGAATATACCGTATGTGTGAAGCTTGAGGAAGTTGAGGAGAACAGGACAGACATGATGCAGGGCCAACACACACATGCACATGAAGACGCACACCGAGGCCGTATGGTTGTGAGGCAGCAGTGAGGAATGAATGCTTTGGGCCCAGAATTTACACTTTTTCACTGTGTTGTAAAGAGATGGAGCAAAGACTAAGCTGGTTGGGAATTTGAGACTGGGTAGATGTTGTGATGTATGAAATATTTAGCCTTGTTTAACCGGAAAATGTTCTTATACTTTATGCCAGCACAAGCAGTTGTTTTAACTTTTTAATGTATAGTGTGCAAAAACTCATATAAGAATATCATGACTACTGACCCATGCATTAGAGATGTGTTGTGATAGATTTCCCCCTCCTATTTAATGAATTCAGGACAATTCTGGGGCTCAACAAAGCAGGGGGGGGGGGGGCAGCATAAAAGCAGGGGGTGCAGCCCGTTCTCATCCCCGCCCCTTGGTGTCTCTCTTCCCATGGCTGTGCTGATACAGAAGCAAGGCACCCCTTTAGCAGGTGTATATTACAAAGCATTGCTATCTGAGGATGGGAACAGATTGGTACATTGTTTTTATTTACTTCTGTTTCAGATCAGCAGGCACAGACCGAAAAGCAGAGACAACAAAACCTTCCAGCAGTGTTTCTACGGAGTGGTGGTTGTGTTTTGTTTTACAATGTAACTGATACATTTAACATAATATACATTTAAACCAGAATGGGTATTGCACAGACTACTGGTGCATTTAATCGTGAACAAAAAAGTACCCAGAGATGAAATGACTGACAATATTTCATTAAGTGAAAGACTTCCTTTGTGTGTTGATAGTTTGAAAAGTGTGATTCAGAGAAACCCTTATTCAGTGTAAAGTAAAAGGACACAGTTTGTTAATGCACATTACCTGGCCGTCAGTTCCCAGGGCATGGTCCGTCAGCAGAGGCCTGTACTGAATGGTGTGAGGAGTGTTGTTGACCAGGATGGTTCTGTCTTCTAACTGTAGAATCTGAATACCATGCCTCACCACAGACGACACACAAAACTGACACAGCTGCAGAGGAGACAACAGACACCAAGTCGCCAGTTATAAAGTAGAACAATCATTCAAATACCTTTTTATAGTGCATTGCACTACAGAACATTTTCCCTGTGCTCACGATAACTCTTAAAGGAAATTTGTACCCACAAAATGAACATTTGCATATAAATGACTCACCCTGTCAATCAATGCAGGAAAAGCTTTTTCTCTCATGACTCGGGGAACGAAAAATATTTTTCACAAAAAATGTTCTGATTTAAAACACTTCCTCATACACATTTTCATGCTTATGCAGACGCTCTACTCTTTCATGTGATTGTGTTAAAAGTAAGGTTTCATTAAAATGCATGTGTTGGGAGACTTGGATTATAATTATACTGCAGGAGTTGAAATGTGAACATAGAGTAACTTTCCTGTTGATAAACGCAGCACCCTTTTACTTATTATTCGTTCACAGTAAAGGCAAACTTAAGCCTTGAGAGTTTTCTTCAAGAATTTAAGGTCACACGGGTTGAGTAACTCTAATATACAATGATAACTTTGAGGGGGATGTATTCCTATAATGTATAATTCAATGACTTTCCAAAATGAAATGTCATGCGCATTGATCGCTGTAACTTATAAACGCTTTGTTTCTTCACCTTCTGTCTGCCAGGGAAGGCTCCCAGGGTGATGTCGGCCTCTACATACCCCTCCTCATCCAGAGTGACCACCTCTGAGCCTGATCCCTCCTTCCACCGAGGAGAAGTCAGGTCATGCACCAGTTTGAGAGCAGTGGACTTGTGGACAGTGTTAGTATGGGCCCAGTAGATACCAATCTGGAAGGCTTCCTGGGTGGAGGGGGATAAGAGGGCAAGAAAGGGGGAGAAAGGAAATCAGATAAGGAATTACAAGGAAAGAGAAAGGTCAAACACTGCCATTTTTTTATTTGAATATTAAAATGGTCTGTAACTGATTGTATCAACTGTGGCTTCAAAACCAACAACTCAAGTTTGTGTCCATGTTTTCATGCTCCGTGCATAACTTTACAAAAAGTCCTGGATTGAGGAGGATATTACTTCCATTACTGATGTTGGCTGATTGCTGTTTATCTGGCTCTGCAGCTATCAGCCTCATCAAACATGCCCATCAAACAGCAACCTTCTCAGCGGACAGACACCAAAACTACTTTTCACTGCTCCTGCTATGATAAACAGCAGGAGCAGGTTGAAATAATGTTTTATTTGTTCCTATGACAAAAGCTTTTACACATTTTTGAGATGAACCATATCAGCAATTGCTCTTTGATACGCTGCCTTGCTGCTGAGCGCTTTGTTAGTTGAAGAATCTGTGTATGTGTTTTATGTTCCACAGTGGGAAAAACATCTGCAGACCTCTTCTTCTGATGTCAGAAGCCAGAGAGAAGACATTTCTACAGAAAAGAGTGACAGAGCTTGGCTGTAGATAAAGACATGCAGGGAATATTGTTGTATTGCCGCTTTGAGAACAGTTGTATTAGTCCAGATGAGTACAGAGCAGGTTTCATAATAAAGGTTGTCTTGCCTAAAGGCAAAAATAAATACAGTATCTATCTATACCTATCAGAGCAATAGGAAGATCACTGCATTACATACAGTGGCTCAAATTTGGAAATACAGTCAGAATTTGCTTTACTTAGCAGTATTTTTCCAACACTTAAATTCTGACCTGATTGGAAACATTCATGCAATATGGCTTGTTTCACATAGCATAGCAAATGGTATGAAAGTATTATATAAAGATGTAAGAGGTGCACAGTAAGAACATTAAGAACATGTGATGTTCAGTTTACTAACCCCTCAGCTCAGGAAACAGTCTTCTGTTTCTGATGAGCCTCTGCCATCATTGTACGAATGTTCACACCTTGGGTACCGGTGTCAGAAGGTTTGATTTGTGCTAGATAAATGCAAGTCCCGTCAACTGTCTGTGTCGGTGGAGGGTGATTTAGTCTGAGAAAGTAACCCTGATGTCTTCATTATTACATGATCTTTCAGTTTAACGGCTTGAATGCTAGGTAACAACTGAAGGCATACCGTTTAGAAGACATAAGCGTTTATCTGGCGAGGGAAGTGTAAGGGAAAGCGCTGATAACGCCATTATTGGGAATGTATAATCCAGTGTTTTTAGAGCTTGTGACTGTATGTCAGAATATCTTTACTCTGCAGGCACAATACCTTAAAGTTGGGGGGCACAATGATCTTTCCGGCTGGTATCTGCAGGACGATTGTCTCTCCCTCAAACAGCCACAGGTCCCATTTGGAGTGGTTGGCCAGCAGGGCCCAGGGCAACAGCTCTACCAGCAGAGTGTTGAGACCCGACTTCCAGCAGGATAACTTCACCTGCATGGGACTGTCCCACTGGGCCAGGGGCTCCAGCACCGACCTGTGGGGAGGGAACAGACTGTAGAAATCAATCAAATAAGTACACTCTAATAGTGACCTATTGGCAGATATTAAGTATATAAACACAGACAGTCAGTGGAGGCTTTGGTCTTTGCAGTGATGATGCTGATGATTATGCATACATCTTAAACAGCCCTTCAAAGAGTCAAACATGAATCTATTCTGTCAAAAACAATGACATTCAAAGCTCATTTCTACTGCTCTGAGTTTCTTTCCCATACCGCAGTGAGGCTATGTGTGCATGGACTGTAAACACTTCACTGAGATACATAGCTATAATGACATACATATAGACAGGGAGACAGACACGCAGCTACCTGTAATGCAGTATTTACAAACAACAATTATTCTCAGCTTGGTAATAAAAATCATTTATGCTCAATTCCTTAGATTAAGGACATCATTTCATCTGTCTACTCATGTAAATCAGCTATGGACATGTGTTACACAGTGCAGCGCACAGCTTTAAACCGACATTGAAATGTGTTGCATATAAACAAACAATTATTTGACTGTTATACAATGCAGAACACAATGACAATCAGTCAGGCTAAACAAATACATAGGAAGAAAAAGGTCTGCACACAAGTTATGCAATACAAACAGATACAGAGAACAGTTGACAAGACATCTGGGAACACACACAGGCATGTGGAGACACAGACAAACAGACTGAAACACGGAACCATTTTCCCACTGATCCACCAACACAACAGTCATTTCACGGTAATCATGGTCTCATGAACCCTAAACAGCGTAGTGTCAGAAGAGAGCCAAACAAACAGTTCTCTCAGACTAACTCTAAGTTCAAAGCCATCAAAGGTTTAACTTCTTCCTCTCCCTCCAGGCCGCCTGGTCTCTGCTCAGCCCACCGACCTGCCACCTCAAACGTACCATACCCAAAGCCTGCCTGCTGTTGAATGGGACCCTAAACACTGACGATGGCTTTTTCTTACCATTTACCCATGTTTGAGTGTTTTATGGGACAATCACCTCGAGCCGGAGTGCAGAAAAGTTTAAGGCTCATAAATCACATCACAGAGCTCACAAAAGGGTAGTTGAAGGAATGTGTCTGTCCACACCTGCCAACTCTGAAGTTGAGGTCTTGAGAAGTGTGGATTTTGAAAGCTACAAACACACGCATACACTGCCTGCAGCAAGGGGTTACCCTAACCACTACACGACGTCTGTTTAATCAGAGCCGAGGTGCCTCATTAAGACACAATATGTACACACTCGCTGGTTGGTTCGGTTTCACCGAGCATTGTGTACAATGCTTTTCCCCTTAGATTCGGAAAAACAAATATTTTTTTCGGAGTTTAGGATTGCCGAAGACACTACACTACCCATAATCCTCAGCTGTCATTTGGGATGTCAGCTGTCAGGTTTGTCAGCTTTGCTCAACAAACCCTGTGATTAGTCCTCAAGCTCTGTGATTGGTTGACCTCCAACTGCATTCCGTATGAAAAGAACTTTTCGTAAAAAATATAAAATCATACTTTATTCAGCAGTGCTTGCTTTACTCTTTGAAAGTCATCACATGAATGCATTGTAATAAATGGTTTGGCTGCATACATTATTACACATCTGTCGTAGTTCTTTATTTATCTACAGAGATTGGGCCTCAGAATGGACCGAAAACTATTATTTTACTAAATAAACTTGCCTTGCCTTACCTAAGGTCTGCTGCATGTTTTGTTGAATGTGTTATATTTGATGAAAACATTTAAATATTAAGAGTACATACAAAAATAGGGGGAAAGTAGAAGGTCTGATAGAAATATAGAACAGAAAATATCAAGAAGATACTGTAAATGATGTTTACAATAAAACAATTTAGTGCCGGATGTACAAAGATATTAATAGGAGGAGGTGCAAAACAGACAAACTAATGAACCTTTATTAAAGCATTACATTATACTTTAGGTTAAGATAGATGTATTGTAATGCTCTGTTGAGGAACCTGTGACCCAAGTTTTTCATGCATTGCTTAACTACACTGTAGTTGTGTATATGATACAGTATGTGCAAAATAGCCATTATATACAGTTTTTAATGAACGATTAGAAAATAACGATTAATGAATATACTTTATAGAGATCTGTAGATAAATGTTTAGTCTTCTCAAGCACCAACAATCAAATATCTCTCCTGATTGTTGGCACTTGACAATCACCTTCCCTGAATTTTACACAGGTGTAACTAAAGTCAGAATCAGAATCTGCAAAGTAACTAAAATAAATGTAGTGGAGTAAAAATACCAGGTTAACCTCTGAATTGTGGTGGAGTAGAATTACAAAGTAACAATAAATTGCATGTTTTACATGCTGCAGTAACAAAAACATTTCCCAACTTGGGATCAATAAAGTATATCTTATCTTATCCTAAGATGATCGATGGCTACTGCCATATTTGCAAAGTATCCTGTTTTGGATAGTGTGCCGTTGTTGGGCTTCATTCCCTTTCAAAGTGCTGTTTGACGCTCGGCGTAACCTTGGCGCACTGCCACTCCAACATCCAATCACAGAGCTTGAGGACTAATCACGGGGTTTGTCAAACAGAGCACATGGTGTAGTCCCAAACGATAGCTGGGGATTCTGGGTAGTGTAGTGTCTTCTGCCATCTTAAACTCAGAAAAAACATTTGTTTCTCCGAATCGAAGGGGAAAAACACAAAAGCATTGCACACAATTTAAACCAATCAATATTGTGTAATTAACAAGGATAATCTGGTGTTTTTTAGTCGATGAGTAGTGCAGATATCACTGTAAAATCAATCGACAGTAAGGGGAATACTTACTTCCGGGTGTACAATCCTCCGTTATCCAATGGGAATGGACGCTCACATTGCCTTTAAGGGCAGCCGACATAAACGAGTGCGGTGCTTCCATGAGCGTCAAATACCGCCGCCGATGGGAATACATTGCAATCAGTTGAAAGCTCTTTGCGTCCCTTTATGAAGCTGAAGGAGCCTCGGAGCGTCACAACTGCACGCCACGGGACCCTGACCAAACGTCGCTCCTGGACGATCAGGGAGTGAGACTGTGTTGCTTTTCTTGTACCTTTTTGGCTCTTCAACATAAAGTGGCAGATTTCTGTTTCAGACAAACTGCCATAGCCCCTCAGGATGTGAAATGTGCATTTGGACTTTTAGTCTCACAGGAAGAGAGGGGTCTGACTGCCAGAGAAACCTGACACTGCACCTCCAGATAGCCGCCATTCACTGAGACTCAGTGTGTGTGACATTAAATGTGGGTGATGTGTGCGGCGATGTGCGTTTGTAACACAGTGTTATGAGTGTGGGTTGGGCAACAATCTGTGTGCGTCTTTGGGTATGGATAGAAGCAGAGAAACCCGGGCGACCACAGACAGATCCACTCTCTGTAGCTCAAGCCTGTGGGGGGGCATATGGCTGCGTGTCTTTCCGCTGCTTCAAGATGTGATTGCTTTGTGACAAAAGACGTGTGCGTGGGCCACATAAACACACATTTGCTCACATTTATTCAGTATACACACTGTATGCTCTGCAAAGCTGTGCCAAGTTTGAACTGAATGCAAGGCCCTGTGACGAGTGTGAGAAAGTGGGACTGTGACAGAGTGACAGCCTAAGTCTCCGGTCTCTGATGTATGGCTCTGCATTGTCTTTGCAGTCACAGTTTTATTACGTGAACAAAGATTCGGTAATAAAGAGAAGCCTCCCTCATTAAAGGGCTTGCTTGCACAACTTTGAGCTTTTGGGATTGGATGCCATATGAAGACTACTATTAGGAAAATGGTGGTTGGTCTAAATACAATTTGTTATGAAATGTAACATTAAGATTTAACGCTTGTCACATAAGTTCTATAATAAAGAGGGAAAATAATAACACATATTGACTGCAAAGGATCATAACCCTCCTGGTGTGTTGGAGGAAAGAGGCTTGTGCACTTCATGTGTGAACTTGCATGATGTGGCATTATTTCTCTTTCCTGCCTTGCTTCCCCTTGTTTAGCCAACCCGGTGCTTGTAGGTGGGCTCCTCAAGATTTGTTTAAAAAAAGATGATCAACACTAAACATGTAAGTAAAAGTACAAGACGGCTATTATTAAAATGCAGGGCACTGGACATGCACACAATACTGTACCTGTCAGTATCCTTGGTTACGTAGGGCCAAGGGGGCCCAGTGGAGGTCTTTGGACCGTAGAAGTCAGCCAGGATGTGCTCCAGGTTGTCCTCCTTTCCATTCTTGTGCACTATCTGTTTGATTAGGCTGGTGGAGATTGGTACAGCACAGTGGGAAGCATCCTCATCATGCCTGAAAGACGGAGCACAAATCGTTACAGATGTCTCTAACAAGAGAAACATGTGCCATGTATTCCATTTTCTGTAACACATTTCCATTGAAATAGATAGCTCACAGAACATGTATATCTCAGAGATTCAAACATTTTGCCTACTTTTCCCAACAATCTGCAAGTCCTGCTGCCAAGCAGGACCTGTACCAGCTGATTTCATTTATGCTGATTACCCCCCTCCCTCTTGTGGGGATAGTTGATGGCATGCAATTAAAAACGACATACTCGGGTTATAAAAACATATGGTTGTGAATCACTGCTGTATATAAGCAAATCTGCCTAGGAAGCGTCTTCACTTATTTGACCCCAGAACCAATTGAAAGATATTTTTAATTTCACTATAGAACAAGACATCTCTTGACAGGAGCTGACTTTTCTCATTGTTCTGTTCAGAACGATTCAAGTGACCTCAAGCTAAACTCTGATTTTACCCTAAAACCTCCATCTGCCTTTTGTTCTGCTTTTTTCGTCCAGACATGCAGTCTTGCCTTGTAAACACAAATTCATAAAGATCATAGAAAAAGCTTAACGGCAACACATAATCCTATTGGATACCTCAGCCCCAGACACTGGTCAATTACGGCTTTGCCACAAAAAAAAAAGGAACTAAATCCAAACTATAATAGCTTCTTCTCTTCCTCTGGGCTTCATCCAGTTCTATTTGGCTAAAGTGTAGCAGCCCCCTAACCCCAGATCAGTAGTTTATTAATAGAGCTCATTGTGCTATAAAAAGAACATAGGGGCTATAGCTTTTGGAGCTGGGGCAAGACAGAGGAGAGGGACAAGGTGTTGACAGGAAGCCTTTCATCCAGAGCAGTCCCCAAGGGGGAAACTTGAAGAGGCTTCTAATTGTAACCCTCAGCTTTCAAATGTGGTGGCCAAGATTTGGAGAGCGGGACATAACTGTTCTGGTTAAGACTTGTCTGTCTCTTGTGTCACAGACCGCAGCTCTGCTCTCCACCTCGTCCATTAGAACCCACAACTATGTGTAATTACAGGAAGGAAAGACGAGCTGTTGACCAGCGAACATTGGAGATTGGATCTGTCCTAGAGGTTTGGGGTTGTGTGTGTTATTGTGTATATGTGAGTGAAGGTACATGTACAATTGTGGATGCAGGAGGATGAGGGATCGATTGAGTTGGGGGTTCAAGGAAAGGGGTCTGTATATTTGTGCAGTGAGAGGCAGTTTAGAAAGGGGATGCTTTGTGGTGGCAATCCAGAAAGACAAGACACTTAGTTGTTCCTGAGCTTGCTTTATGAAAAGGATTTATCTTCTGCAATAGGCGCAGATTCATTCCCAGTCACTGTACGGCCACTGCGGTTCCTTTATGGCAGCAGAAATCAAAACAAACTTTGTGACTAGATATCTAAACACACAACAGTTACAGCAAAGATTTCTCTCAGGAGGAGTGAGTTATACCCAGTGTTTACTCTGTTTATTCACATCACCACTGGTTGCTACCAAAGGGGTGATGTTTCTTTCATAAAACAACATAGATTAAAGATGTACAGACAACAAATATGGTTGGAACAACATCAATACAGTATATACATATGGTTGTTATTTCTCCTGGGGCCACCCATACTGACACATAAACACTCATGAGACACTTTGGAATAAAGCATCTATCTTTTAAATGTTGTGACATGACACATGAGGTACCATAGTGGTGTTATAAGATATCATATGACCTACAGATGGAATACATGGTATTTATTTTATGTGCAAATTTGCACATAAAATAACATTTTGACAACTGACTTTGCTTAGTGGGACCTAACATAATACAATATATACAGTAAGGAGCTGTCTCTCAAAGGGGGTTTGGTGAGTATGAGAGAGCGTGAACACACACCGACCGAGAACCAGGCGCAGCAGTGATTTACTCACAAAGTGGCAAAGTGACTCACATACCTCATTCACACCAACGCAACTCCGGTTCAAGCTCCGTGCTAGAGCTTTTCAGGTTCAGAACCGGTTCTTCGGTTTAGCTCCGGCTCTTTTCACACTGCCCAGAGTCCGACTGGTGCTGCGTCATTGCGTCATTGTTTGCGTCATGACGTAGCCGTTTGCGTGCCTGCTTTATAAAGCCAAACCGCACGGAAACCCCTCACAGCTCACACCGACAACAACAACAATGGCCGATTGTGCTCCAGCTTCCTCTGTACCTCTTCGGAAGACCAGATTCCCAGCAGGTAGCTGGTCTCCTCAGTGGACCACTGCTGCTTGTTAAGTTTCTCCATCGTTGTGTACAAGCTGGATAAAACGCGGGCTTTTTGTTGTTGTTCAGGAGTTGATCCCGCCCCTGCCCCCGCCTCGAAGTAAGCGTGACGTATGCGGTGCTTTTGCTCTAGCCGGACCATTTTTTGGTGCTTGAAATGAACCGGATTCCGGAGCTAAGAGGCGGCTCCGCTGCGGTGTGAAGAGGAAAACCCGGTGCTTTTCAAGCTCCAGCTCCGAACCGGCCCTGAAACACCGTTGGTGTGAATGAGGTAACACTGGCACATGGAAAACAAAGACAATGACATGTAGACCACACATGGATACCAGGACACATGTGTGCATACATACTACTCCTCCAACCGTGCATACGTGTGCATAGACAAACACAATCCTCTACACAAACACACACAGACAAATAAGTAGCCAATAAGGGGCCATTAACCTGCTCTCTGTCTGGGCCTGTACCTCAATAAGGTGTAATTCTGGTCCAACCTGACATGTTGGAATTGGAGCAGTGGCTCGGCTGCTGCCAAGCTGGCTTCCTATTCCCATCAAATGTGCCTGCACTAACCCAGGATCATGTCTTCATGTTGGCTCGCAAGAATCAGAATGTGGTGTGAAACCACAGAGCAACTTGCAGGTTAGAGACCCCAGTGAATAAATGTGTAGGAAAAGGATGTATACACTAGATTTTCAAAACAATATACATAAATATACACTACAGCAGGGCTCTCCAACACGTCGATCGGGCAGCTTTTCAGTAGCTCGCCACTCCATTATCGATTATAGTGTAGTAAGGTTGCTTCTTGATTTTTCAGCCGCGGCTGGACAATAAAGTTTTTTTATTTTAGAATTGTTTCTGTCACACGAATATCAAATTGGTCGGTGACGCAGTGATCAAGGAACAGACGTGACAGCGGCACAGCGACACCACACATGGAGCAGTCTGCTTTATCCACCAACACCAGTCCAGAACCAACAGCAGAATGACCCGCTCTGAATCAGGCCGTGTCGCTGCGGCTCAGAGACACACAGCAGGGATTTGTGTTTTTTGAAAAACACTCGTTATCGTCATGTCAGGTTTTTGGTGGATTTAATCAAGTCTTGGATTGCAGAGTATGAATGTCCTCTTGCTATTTTCAGTTGATAAATACTTGTGTAAAGTTTGTGAAGGCAGGAGGAAAGCTTCCGCGATCAACGTCTCCTCTCCGTTCCTCCAAACCCGCCCCCTCCCCTAATGGCTGATAGTGACTGAAATGTCTGCTTTATTTGGTTCTGTTCTGCAGACCTTTGTGAAGCAGCTTTTTCTGACATGAATGTCATGAAATCTAAATACAGAACAAGACCGTCTGATCAACATTCAAATGACTCTATTAGAGTGAACCTAAGTGGGTACACTCCAGCATACACCTCTATGGTGGACTCCATGCAGCGCCATTCATGAATGCACTTATTTTACACATGTACCGCATAAGATGCTTGTAAGGTGGTTATTAAGGACATGTATGTGAATTTTCAGTGATGTACTTACTATGTGGGCCATAATAATATGTGAGACATTTTCATTTTCACGGACCTTGATGTGAAGTTAAGATTTGTGATAAGCTTTAGTTATGGCAATTTCACACGTGTACAAAAGTATAGCTTAATTCAACTGATGAGGGCTATGTGAATAAATGCGATGTGATGCAAGTAGCTCTTGGCCACTTTCATTTTTTCAAAGTAGCTCTCAGATGAAGAAAGGTTGGAGACCCCTGTACTACAGTGACATCTGGCGTGGTTTTTGTAAGACATTTTTACTTCCGCATAAAAAAAGCCTCCCTTCGTGACCTCCCGCGGGTGACGTAACATGGGGGAGAGAGGCCGGTCTAACATATGAATAAACATGGGTCACAATGCTAGTTTTGACACAGAAGAGGTTGAAAATATATATTTGAATGCATATGATTATAATGATGAGCCTGCTAGGCGTCCAAGAGACCAGGAGCAGCCAAGGATTAGAAGAAATAACGGCCATCGGAGAGAAATGGAGCTGTGGTGTGAGGAGAACCAGTGGAGAACAGTGCAGCTGTCTTGGTGAGTGACCGGAGTTAGCTTCAGTTAATGTTAACTAACGTCACATCACAACATTGTAAAGTTAGCTATCATATATCAGGCTATAACTAAAGTAGTATTGATAATATACTAACGTTACTGGCAGGACTGTTGATACTGATCCATAACAGAAACTAATGCGCAAGTATCAGCCGTATCTCGCGTTACCTAATGCAACTCCACACTACGTCTTACGGTGCTGTGTACCGGAGGGGATAGAGAGAGGAGCGAAGGGGGGGAGAGAGAGAGAGAGGAGCGAAGGGGGGGAGAGAGAGAGAGAGGAGCGAAGGGGGGGGGGGGGGGGGGAGAGAGAGAGAGAGGAGCGAAGGGGGGGAGAGAGAGATGTAATACGGTTTCCTGATAAACGTTTTGTTTGATAGATCTCAGCTGTGGAGAGTATGTGCTGCAGGGAGGTGGATGCACCCAGGAACGAACGCTAGCTCCGGTCCTTTTCCTGTGAGGGAAACTGTGGACTCGATGTCCTGACAGGCTGGAGTTTGTGATTACAAATGGTGAAATGCAATGTAAAATTACCGAAAAAATACCAGCTCACTAAATCACAACCGCTCAAACCTACAAACTACAAACTACTACCGCGGATTGGGCAGAAAAGGAGTCCGAGAAATGTGCTCCCCCATGTGACGTAATATGACGCGTTTGACGTTAAAAAAAAGCAGTTTTTAGTAGCAGAGCTCAAAACGGCTCCTCATTATTATAATTTTCAGGCAAGGTTAAGCATAAATCTAGTAAAAAAACAAACCTGCAAGTTGCTCTTTAAGTAAGTGTCTCTCTATCTTTGCTGAATGGAAGCATGACAAGCCCATTACAGAAGACCAGAGTCAGAGCCTGTCTTTTATATAATACTAATAATATTAGTGTAGCATCATATTTATCTGCAACTGTGTAAAATATACCGTCCTCAAACATGATGCAAAGAAATCGAAGGTCAAAGTTATTAATGAAGCTTTAATGCTTCAAACTATTTGGTACAGCTTTACTGAGTTTTCAGAATATATATCATGATAATGTACAAAGGCATTTTATACACTTTATTTTACTTTGCCTTTTAAGGATGTACACTTGTAAATCAGTGGCGGCCGGCCCATAGGGGCGCCGCCCCACCTCTTCCCACATAAAAAAAAAATATTAAAAAAAATATTAAATTAAAAAATATATATTTAAAAAATATATATATTTTATATTTTTATTGAACAAGGTACATATCATACAATTGGTATCAGTAAAATGTATAATCTACAATAAAATCTCGTTTAAAATTGTGTTACGATGTCTAAAGTTACTGATAAGTCACATGTTTCCTGCCTGGCCTTGCCCATGGCATTAGTTTACCGGGCGCCTTGCAAGGAGCCCCCGAGACAAACAGCAGCAACCAGCACGTTGCAAAAGTCTCAATAGTAAACTGTGCCGCCGAAACATAATTTCAGCCAATCAGCGCCGTCAAATATTTTGGTCACGAGGGCGCTCACGTTGGCGCTCACGTTGCTTACGTGCGTTGACGTGAGTTGTTTTTTAGACTCGTGAGTGACCAAGGTGTTGGATGAGTTGGATGAGAATGGCTTCGTGTGCAGGTGGAGTCGCCGGACCTCGGTCCCCGCCCAATTCCGTTCAAGAGCTACTCTCCAATCCTTTCGAAAGGAGAAGTTTGGGAGATAAACTGTTGCTTAAAGACCTTGGACCGGACCAACCCGATTTGTATATATCGCAGCAAGCTCGTGAAAAAGACAAAACGTATCAACGAGGCTTCTCACGTAGCTGGTACACCAGAAAGGCATGGCTAGCTGGATGCAAACAGGTAAATGCTGTCTTTTGTTTCCCATGCTTGCTCTTCAAACAGCTGGGGAGGCTGTTACGATCTGTTCAGAAACTAGACAAAAGTTAAACAAGTACAAACCACAGACTGTCTGTGTCATGGAGAATACAGTCGCTGGTTTATTTATGTCTGTATAGGCCGTTGTTGTGAGTGTGGACGGTCGGAGCATATATAACGTTAGCTTAGCCAAGCTCCATTCAGAAAACAAGCATTCTAAAAGGTTTTTCGCCTGCCGTCTGTCTGCAGACTTGTCAAAGCATTAATTCATGGTTTTTACTAACCGGTATCAGTATGTTGTTACGTCGGCATCATTTAGAAACGTGTATTACAATTTAATCACGGTAAAATATGTTCATCTTGTTGTAGTTGTAGCTCCCGAGCCAGCGCGTCTTGTTTGAATGATGCGAGTAAACACAGCTGGCAGCCGCGGTGAAACTCGAGCGACTAGAGCGATGCGATAGGAGCGTTTAGAGCGAAGCGAATATTCGCATCGCGTCCGGTCTGAACGCAGCATTAAAGCGAGCTCCGCGCTGCACTGGAAACGCGCCATTACATCACAAGAAGTCCTAATTTAAGGGGTCATTTCTCCCCCAAAAATTGTACTCACTATATCAACAGCCCCACCAAAAATATTTTCCACCAGCCGCCACTGTTGTAAATGTTAAAAGCAAGTGAGATGTTCTCTTCTTTTTACCTGGCCTGGAAGGTAAGGTGGTGTGTGAGGTCGGCCTCCGTGTTCAGCAGGGGCTCCTGGTGGCCCTGGCCCTGGATCAGCTGGCTCTCTCTCAGTCCCAGACTCCTCTTCTCTACGTGGAGGATTACTGGATCTGGCAGGTGGCTCCTCATAACAAACAGTGGACTAAAGACCACCTGAAACAGGACATTCATACAGAACAGTCATCAGTTAGTGGATGTTTTCATTAGCTCTTTTTAATCCATATAAAGTCTGTTTTCTCGTTTTGGACTGTGAATGAATTAAAGCTATTCTGATAAGAAACACTGGGTTAAAAATATAGAAGCAATCAATATCACAATAGCACAGATTGCATAACTTAAAAACAAACAAACCAAGCTGGTCTGTGGAAATGTTTTCTCAGATTATACCACAAAAATGAGAAGTTCTGCTTTACCACATCCACTGTCTTTTATGCATATGGGTATGTAATGCTTTGGTGCTCCTTAGTCATTAACTAAGAATTGGTAGAAAAACCTCCACATAAACAGATACAGTGTGAGAAAAAACAACAACACAATCATGCCACATTATGCAGGGACACTCACCACTCTCTGCTGCATGTGAGTATCAGATTCAATTGTGAAAAGAGTGCACCAAACATAGAGCAAAGTTCCACTGGAGCAAGGCACCTGAAAGAGACACACTGCACTGTTCAGAACATGTCTACCATTGATGTACAGGGTTGGTAAGAAAAGATAGATCAAGAACACTGAAGTGCAACTTCATTGTGTTTGCTTATGGTTGTAATGCAAACAAAAGGATATCTGATGCCTTTGCTGCCTCTTGTCACTGACAGAATGTTAATTGCTTCCACCAGCAACACATTGTCATAAAAAAATGTGCTTGTTGCTTCTTTCAGTAGATAACAGTTAGATCTCCCTAAAGCCTGCCAACACACTTTCAAGAGGTGACTGTTATCTGCCAGATAATCGGACATTACAGACTGTTAAATATGAGCAAGATTGAAGTGCTGGGAATGTGTCCACTGAAAGTCTGGGCATGTTCCTGCTGTTGTCCCGTTTACTCCTTGCTCCTCATTAACGCCTTGAGATGCCAAGGCACTTTACAAGTGGTCTAGTTTATGACAGACTGCAGACTTTATGTACTAGTGGGGACATCAGAGTGGAGCAAAGAGACAGAACAAACATCAGTTTTGATATAGTGGGCCTTGCAAAACAGCCTTGTTGGGATGAGGGAGTGAACATTGGGAAACAGATACTTTATAAGCCTGATCCACAGGAAACACTCACAGCTGGAATGAGGTCAAGATGACCTCCTGTACTTTCTCAAAAGTAAAGTACAAGGGTAATGAAAGATGTTGGAAAAAATGGATAGGGAGGAGGAAGGTGAGATATGAGGAAGAGGAGTTACTTCAGATGGATAACCGATACAGATAACAAGGAGACAGATGAGAAAGGAGACACATGTTCAAGGGAGAGAGGCCGGACCAGGTGGACGAGCTAAATGCCAGAGCATGAAGTAAATAAAGAAAAGGAGTTAACAACTACAAGATAGATGAGTGAGGCAGTGTGTGGGCGAAAGGTAGAAGAAAGGGAGGGAACGAGAGTGAAATAGCAGGAGACAGACAGAGATAGAGAGTTCTGAGGACCCAGCTACTAGTCCAGGCAGCTCTCTCATTCAGAGCCAAGCCTCCATATGTGTAATGAATGTCTGATAAGAGATAACAGCACAGACTGGAATAGTCTGAAATGTTCAGACACACAGAAGCTGGAGCTGCAGAAACTAGCTAGCTGTTAACAGCATGGGGATTATATAGGCAGGAAGAGAACAGAGAATAAGATCTAAAACATACAGAACAGAGCCACACAGAGCCAGAGCAGCAGGGACGGAGAGGAGAGATCTTCTGGCACTCATCCAGCAGTGTGAAAGTGCCTTCAAAGCTCTCCTCGTGCCCACATATCAGCTAGTGTTTCCTGTCAATGGTTAGCGTTGTTATGAGAGGGCATAAACTGTATGTTCTGCCTCTCAACATGGTCAGGTTATGGGTCTGCGGGCCTTTGTAAGCCTATCTGAAGGGAAGATCTCAATCTGTTTTCTGACTGTGAGAAGCTCTGCCACTGCGGCCACCCAGAGAGAGGATCCGTCACAGCTGGTGGTCCACTCACCGGCTCCAAATGTGTGTGTGGCTGAAGAGCCAGTTGGAAGTTGTTGTGCGAGCAATGAGAGTATTTATCTGTGTTCGTGTAGGACATCCATATCAAACATCTTTGAAATTAAAAATGACATTTAAATGAACTAATGTGGTCTATAAGAGTTAAGAGCATTCATACTGGTCTTTAGGACTGTGAAGCTGACCGTTGAGCGGCCCAGACCAAGCAAGGAGGCAGAGGCAGAACGTCCAAATATATAACCCGACGTGGGCATTTATTAAAATTGAGCACAGGACACAGCCTCAATCTTGCTGTTCCTGTGCACACAGCCACCAGCCTCAAGGATCTCACACACCCTACCAGCCTCTCAAACAGACAGGGCAACAGACCCTAAATACACCCACTCTAATCAGCACAACAAGACACAGGTGAGGGGGGAGGAGACAACACAGGGCACCAGGTGCACACAATCATCAGCCACAGACATCAACTGTACTGTGCAATCACGCTAATAAAGTGCAATATTACCCGGCCTGAAGCCGTCAGTCCATAGTGACGAAGTTACCTTCGTCACAAGGACATAGAAAACACATTTCACTACATTCACCTTCAGGAATACTTCATCCCCAAAATGGTCATTTGTAAATCGACAGTCGCCATGTGCTACCTTGAAATAATGTTTGTGTGTGTATTCGGGCTGGGTTTCGCTGTGCCTCGCTCTCTCGCAGACGGCCAATGGGCTCATAGGGGGGGGGGGGGGGGGGGCAGGAGCTCCAACAAGCCGTTTAGGACAGAGAGTGAATACACATACTTTACAGAGATGCTGTTTGAGAAACCAATGACATTTTGTAAAATTGCACAATGTGAATCTATTTTAGTTTACCTCAACAATGGAATTATGATCAGTAGAAATGGCCATGACATTGGACCTTTAAAGAGTGTGTTTGTGTTACCACACCTGCACCACAGAGCTGCTGGGGCCCCTCTCCCTCCTCTCGAGCTGGACATCCTGGGACCAGTCTTCATCACCTCTGGCCCTCACACAGAGCTCCGTCATCTCAGCGTCCTCCAGCACATATGATGGCAGCTTGGCCCCTGCCTCCAGACAGTCACAGTGTTCCCTCACCACGGTCTGAGCGTCAGGCCCGACGTAGTGCTGCACCACCCGCAGCTCAATGTGCTGAGTCAGGTAGCTGAGCATCACCTGCCGCCCACAGATGATCACCTGCAGAGAGGAAGGTCACAGGGGAGAGTCCCTCAAATCAAACAAATTCATGTCAGCAGGCTAGGGTTAGGGTTAGCCATAACATTATTTATTTTCCTGGCTGCCATCATTGACAGAAAAATCTGAGAAATTAGGAAGATGTGAAGAAGTTTTGCTTGTCACTTTTATGAAAATGAATGAAAACTGTGTACAGTTTGAATAAATCAAGAAATGTAAAGCTTTGTTCGATATTTTCTTTCTTATAGAGAAATGATTCAACGCTTTAAATAGAAAGAATCAACAGATGACTTGGTAATGACAGTAGGTGCATAGGTGCACCTGTCTTCACATGTGTTCTCCCCACGGGCATCCGTGTGCCCAGTGTGTATAATATGTATAGAATACATGTGTGTTTGCAGATGTGTATGTGTATTTGAGTGACAGAGATCTATACAAGGGTGATTTTTGGGTTGTTTTAAGGTGCCAATATAAAATATAAGGGGGCCTTCAAAATAAAAGACCAGGGGGTCGCTAAACAGTAAGGGTCTGCACAGCTCTGAGTGATAACCAAAAAAACAAAAGATGAGGTGTGCTTTCGCAGGCGGGAGACCATTTCCTCTGTAGTGGCAGCCTCTGTCCCACTCTCAGCTTTGTGTTGTGATTGGATGTGACCAACACTCATTCCCTTACACTGGATGCAATGGGAACAAGAAGTAAACACAGTCTGGCTGGGACAAACGGAGGAAGGAATGCAAGAGCTGTGTCTGTTTTGTCTGGAGGACGGGAGAGAGACATGTGTGACACTTGACACTGTTTATATAACAAAGTGTCACCGCTAAAATCTTACGGCATCTCTGCATTATCAGGAATACATGAGTCTGCCTTGTATTCGTGGAAAAAAACAACCATGATTCACGTTTTGATTCCCTCAGAACTTCTCTGGGAATCGATGGGGTACAATGTGTTGTTGGATGGCTTTAAGCTCATATGCTTTTGTTTAAGTGTAATAAAACAGATTATGAAAATTGAAAAAAAGTAACTATTAAAATAATAACATACAAATGAAAAAAACTGCTCATTCAAAAATGAGCGCTGGGAAACGGCCAGGCATGTAGTACTTCTGAACCACTTACAAATGGTTTCACAGGTTAGCGGGAACATAATATGAACCATCCCTCTATTTTCTTGATTTAAAAAAAAACTTGACCTTGTTTATTACTGTTGTATTTTATCATCACAATTCTACTCAATAATAAGTGCAGCCAGGACTGTCTTTCTGTAGACTCTTTTCCAACATTAGGGATATGCTAACCATGGTCTCTTCTTTATTGTAGAAACTGACTACAAAGTTCAATAACTATTTTGGTTAACCTTACAGCTTATATATACAATTTAAATGCATAACATATTTTTTACAAGGAAATACCAAACATGAAAATAATACAACAACTGAGCAAACTCTATCTAGCGAAAAGTAGCATTGGAGACATGTAGCAGTTTTAAATTGACTTAAGTAATTGTAATCTTTGTATAGTGTTTATTGTTAAATTGCAATAGACAATGAATTTGCTTTAACTTTTCATTATGAAGAATATGTTTATATGTATTAGTGACTTTAGAGAAATGAAGCCATGAGGGTTTAGCATTTCCAATGGGCACGATCTCTCATCAAATAAAGACTACATTTTACAGCACAAAGAAAATGTGCTGTAAAATGTAGTCTTTATGACCTGAACAGTGAGAGAATAATACTTTGTTTGATCCTGTAGCTATCAGCAGCTATTCCCAGGTAGCCAATGGCAGGCAGTGAAATAACAGGAGAAGCTATGGAAATAAGGCCAAAGAAAAAGAGCCTGTATGACAGAGGAGGCAAAGAATGTAAAAGGGGAGAGTGATGTGCAAACGTTTAGATGTCCAAGAGGTTTTGTATGCTTTGTTAGCAATGAAAACATAAGAAAAACAAAAAAAAGACAGTCTGTACCTGTTTCTGGACCCCGTTGAGCTGCGTCACCTTGATGATGAGTGAAGCTGTGCGTCCTTTGTACTGGATGGTCCTCAGCAGAGTCCCTACGTTGTCCACACGGAAGGCCTCTGACCAGCGCCAGTTCCCCCAGCCCTCGATGCAGATGTGCAGCAGCTGCAGGACCCACACACACAGAAGACACATCAGAGGTTAGTCTTCTTGTCCTTTATTTATATCCATGCAAAGGCAAGTAAATAACAGCTTTCTTTGTTTAAACTATTTTGTAGGCCGAAGTAGGGAGACAACGAAGTTCCTGTTTACTGGTGCTGAGCAGACCTGCTGCTGTGGAAGTAGAAACAAGAGGTCCCACACAATAAACTGGCTGGTGGGAAACAGCTGATGTGGAAGCTCATTATGGCTGCATGTGTGTGTGTGTGTGTGTGTGTGTACTTGTGCGGTTTGATGTGGAGGGTTCTGGTCTCTACACGTCTAAATAAGAAGCACATCGTTTGGATCTCAACCCTTTCAGCTTCATAGACCTTGTTCACTGTTGAACACATCCATGTGTGTGTCTGGGGGTAAACACACACTCAGTCATTTCACATCCAAACTACTTTACAATGGTGACAATATTCCGACCATTTTCCACATAATTCCTTGTATTATGTGCAACAAAAATGGCAGCAGGGCTACAATATTTAATATGATTTCTAAGACAGCTACATCTTGATCACAACAGTGGTTTAGATGATATATCATTGCACAACACTAACCTATTTAAAGTGTGATGAGGTGCACATTTCTGAAGCCTTTGATACATTCCCCCAGCTTCTAAATCAACACACACACGATGGACACAATGTAACATGTCTCTTAATATTAACTCTCCCCTTCTGTCCTTGCCTCAGTTCACGTTTCTCCGTGCGTACAGTACAGTGTTTGGCCTTGGGGAAGGGCGCCCTATTGAAGATCAGCTAGCACCTGTTTGTGAGGCTCTCTTCATCAGCTGTGTTAAGAGATGACCACACTCAGACTTCTGAATATGCATAAAGCAGGGTTGTGAACATTCTCTCCTTCAGATGATGAAAGGACTCAACATGCCACGAGTCAGAGAGTGAGTCTCATCCTGACGGATGATGTCTTGGTGATGGAGAGTTTGGTTAGCGGCTCTCTGTGGGTAAAAGCAGCAGTAGGGGACAGAACCTCACTACGGCGACACACACACACACACACACACACACACACACACACACACACACACACACACACACACACACACACACACACACACACACACACACACACACACACACACACACACACACACACCACACACACACACACACACACACACACACACACACACACACACACACACACACACTCGCACACTACAATAGGTTATGGGCTGTTCAGATGTCCATCCGTGCATACAGCCACAGTGAGGTCATACATGACAAGGGAACTCATTTGTCAAACAAGGTGAGTGTTGTCATGATATTATGGTCACAATACGGGAGCAGAATCATAAATACGCAGAGAGATCTGAAGAGTTGTCCCCTCCCGAGGCCGCGAGGCTGACCTCCTACCGACTGAACTCTGTGTCAGCCAACACTGCTTCAAACTCGCAACAGTCCGGGAGGGAGGAGAGAGAACATGAAAAAGACAAGGATGTAAGTGAGAGAGAAAGTCATGAAAGACAGGGGTGGGGGCGGTGGGGGGCTATACAACCCCAGAGGAGTTGCAACTAGTGAAACACTTTTTGAAGTCCTACACTTTGGCTCGTCGCCTCAATGTGCCAAACATTTAGCCAGAAAAACAAATGACTCCTGAGGTCAGAGAGCATGGGGGACCCTGGTCAGGACCCTCGATGTTTCTCTGCTCCAGTCTCTCCTCACCGTTTGAAGGCATATTTCTTTACAATAACATTCTTAATCAAAGCCTGAATTGACTTTCTTCAAGATCATCACTTCTCCCTGTTGGCTGAGTGGAAAGGCCAGCTGATCTCCTGCTCACTGGACTTTCTCACAGGGAACGTGGCTGTAGACAGGCAGGGTGGGGGGGCAGAAGGTAAGGTTAGGCTTAAGGGTGCAGAAGCACAAGATGATTCCCTAAACCACCACCAACATTACAATCAGGACTAGTTAAGATCATAGTGGTTTGAGGAAGACTTTTTTTCTGCCATTCTGCTCCTATTCTATGTTTGAGTGACTTGGCACTGGATGAAATTAAAACCTTTACATTAGCTGTCAACTTCAAATGTTCAGTAACTTCTTAGTATCAGCCCCTGACTTTAAGAAGTTGTGAGGTACTCTATTTGTGTTAATTATGGTGAACATGTTGTGGCACTTCTCTGTCCTTTAACCCCTCCGTTCCTCCCCCTCTCGCTCTGGCTCAACTTGACCTTTAAGGGGAAGTCATAATAATGTCTCTCCTCAAACTTGAAACAGTGCCTGCTGCTCTTGCTTTAATTCATCACTGCTCTGACTCAAGAAGTGGAAGAAAAAAACAAAACACCAGCAGTGACACGTAGGATAACAAGAATGAAAAATAAGAAGCTGTTTATCTTCTTTGTGACCTATTTGACTTAACCCGGGCAGCCTCATGCTGTGCTTTCATGCACAAGTTTAAGGCTGCACTAACACAGGTTTCAACTGACTGAGGAATTCACCAGTTGATTGGCTTTTTAGAAAAATGTGGATTAATAAGAATCAGGTCAAATTAAAGCATAGCACATAGCACATTTGTTGTACTCGATACAGTAATCAAATACCCATATGCATAATGAAATAGTTATTTTCTGTGTTTCATCAGGAGAGGGTTATGTTTTAACTTTAAAAAAAGAAAAATCTTATTGCACCTACTTTTGAAACTTAAATAATTTCATGTAGCTTCTGGTTCATGTTGAGAAACCATGATCAAATTGGCTCTAATTCGAGGATCTCTCACCTCAAGAACCAAAACGACCCCAAGGGTCTTACATGAGGGTAAACATAAATATGCTTTTTAGGTTTGCCCTCATGTAAGACCCTCTTGCTGGACTTATTTAAGTCCAAATCGGACTTTTTTCTATCACTGCATTCAACTGCATACTTTCAGCTACAGAAACCATTCAAATATCAAAATATTCAGCCTTTTCAGCACATGATGGGAAAATATTTTATACTTTTTGAAATATTCAGCTTTTCAAACTCTTTTTTTAACATGTAACTCAATGGGAGGAGCCTTCAAATCCTCTTTTAACTACACTGTGCGCAAAATGCTACTCCTTCCACATACTTTCAGCTAGAGACTTCATTCCAACTTTAAAACGGTCACAAGACCTTCAGCTATAAAACGTATTCTTCAGATTTTTGATATCTTTTACACTTTTTGAGATATTTAACTTAGTTTGGAGCTTGGTAAAGAGGCCTTCTTCAGATTTTAACATTAGTGTGTATTGCGCAGCTCGTTAAGGCTAGAGTGCGTGATGTCACAGCTAGAGTGGGGGACAGCTTGAAATTCGCCTTCAATTTTTTTTTAAAACTTGCCATAATTCCCAAACCCTACACTCCTGAGACATCATTTTTCATGAAAAACGTAGGAAGGAAAAATTAAGTAAAAAAATTAAACAAAATGTCTCTTGAGGGCATGAAGTGAAAACACTTTCAACATGACTCCATTAAGGCCCATTGTAAATTCAACCTGATCTTTCCTCACAGCAGCAGCCGCACACCTTTAGTTAATCTGCCAAAAAGGCCACATTATTGACCCGAAAGTACATAAAAAACAAACTCAGATGCTCGCCAGGGTCCTGAGACGCTTCACACGTTGAAACTTCACCGATATCTGCTACGGTTCTTCAACAAAACGTTCACATGTAAGAGGTTTATCTCTCATTCAGATCAATGGAAAGGCTCTCCTCTCACTAATTACTGCACATCACCATGGAAACCTTTAATCTCTGGGCTCAAGCACAGGTGTTTGGTAACATCGTTACCTCAAACACAAACACCTGTGTGATGTAGGGCTGCACGATTTGGGGAAATAATCTAATTGCGATTTTTCTGACAGATATTGGGATTCGATTTGTGATATTTGTTTTTAAGCGACCCAACGGAAGTTTATTGTAAAATGCGGCCATAACTCCGGCTAGGAAGGTCGTATCAACGTGCTCCCGTCTCTAGCACCCCCGCAGCCCGAGCTACGAGTGAAAGAACTAAACTTACATGAAACTTCCGTTGGGTTGCTTTAAAGTCAAGCTTCAGTTTAAGATTCACCCTGTAATAGAAACATGTGATGGAGCATTACTAACCTGACTCAGAGGGTTTGTTTCACCAAACCATCTAAGAAAGCTCCATTGAAAGCCATTTGGAAAAGTATTTCAAAAATACTTGGCAGGTGATTGGATCAATCTGTCTATCACCTACTACAGGGATGGGCAACTTGGATGGTGGTGGGGGCCACATAATTTATGAACTGGCCATCAGGGGGCCGCAGATTCACTTGGAACAGACACACACAAATTCCATGTATTGTATGTAATTATTAACAAATATACTAGGTCTGACATCTTCATTGACATTTTACAATCTTTTAGGGAACATCCTCTAATAAGCTCAATAAACAAATATCAGTTCACAGAAATGTTATTTAATTTTTAAAAGTGGCATGTTTGTATTGAACAGGTTATTTAACAGTGGAATAAAACTATTTTTAAACTATTGGAAAGCACGGAAAATGTGTGTGTATTGAGATTAACCATTAAGATGACATAAACATCAAGTCATGAACACTAACCCAGACATGAACCTAAGACACTTTTAGCCTGTCTCTGCTGACAAGGGGAATGTCAACACAGACACCTGTCAACCCACACTCTGCTGTTCCTCAGCGCCACTCCCCCTCCCTCCCGCTGAAATGATGAATGTAAGGCGTATAGTAATCATAGATAACACGTCAGGGTCCGTGACTGTTTGTTTTTTATCTGATTTCAAATAAACAAAGTCTTGGTTTTTAGAATATTAAACTTGTTTCGCCAAATTCAGATGATAAATACAACCTTTAAGCTTGTAAAGGCATAATTACAAGCGGCAACTTAACGTCACAGCAGGCATAACAACAGCCAGTGTTTCTTGTGAGGGTTTCCCCGGGAAACAAACACAATACACACAAACGCGTCACCGATTATATCG